TCTTACTCTGGGGTTTACGATATAGAGACAGAGATAATCTAATAGAGATAGGAGATAGAGATAATATAGAGATAATCTCTGCAAATGATAGGGGCATGTGAATGGGCCCGGATTGTAGCGCAACCAAGACCGCCTCTACATCAATGATGCCAACCTTACTCCACAACTTTTGGCGGAAATGGATGTTCAGGCTGCGATCCCATTTACGCCCCTTCACACGCCATACCGCTGGCAGGGATACGATCGGAGAATGAATGAATACATAATCAAAATACATACGAGTTTCTGGGGCTGTTGTATAAGCGGAACTCTTCGCGCTCATAGCTTGGGGTCCGTACACCTGAATGCTCACGCAACTTTACCAGTATTTTGCTGTGGAAAATGGGAGTGACGTACCCCGCTGGCAAGTTTCATCTTCATTTCGTTCACAGTGTGAATGAGCGTTGAAGCTTGCGCTTTGATTGGCGCATGCGATTCAAGAAATTCCTCCAGGGATTCTGAGACTTCTTCAAAAATATCGTGAAGCTGAAAATGAGACAAGCCCATACAACTTCGAGTGTGGCTTATAGAATGGATGTTGATAAGCTGAGACCTTACGGTGTTTAAGGGCCCTCGTCTTTCGCTTTCTACGACGACCTCGTACGTTTTTCTCCAGGGCACTTGTGCGATATTTGTATTCAATAACCTGAAATTTGCTTGAAATACGGAGAATCGCTCTCAAAAGCTTTGAAATGGAGCTCTTTTATATGATAGCTCGTCATTCCGAGCTCTGTCATTCAGCCTCAATTCTTTGAGAGCTATACTCACCTGAGCAAGGACATCTTTAGCGTCTACCGTTCCGTCGTAAGCAAAGTACTCACGGTGCAGGCCGATAGCTGAATCCTGGAACGAGGTATTGTTTATTGAGGTGAAACTTAACTACCATATCTCGAACACTCAAAGGCACATCCTCCATGGGTTGAATCACTTGAACCATTCTCTAACCCTCATCGTGCCTTCCTCACTTCTGCCATCCTGTGAAGACGTGCACATCAGTGAGTAGGATATACCTGTGGAAGTATTTCTCGCATGCGGTCAACACGGATTATGCCTTCAAAGTTGTGAGAGTAACAGAGAGTATGCCTCCGCTCTCTTGCGGAAAAAGAACTATCAAGAGTTGGTCTTGCTCGTGATCAAAAAAGTATGAATCTGCTTCATAAAATCTGACTAGCTTATTAGGCCGAGCGAGTTTAATGGCAAGTGGCACGATAAATCCCCAGGACGTGTAGGATCAATACGCCTAGCAGTACAAAATTTGGTGCCCCTTAGCAGGTGCTGCATGGCGCCTTTTCCAAGGAAGGTACCCTTATAGCGCCCTATCAAGCTGCAACATACCGACTCAAGTGCCCACCGCGCCCGCCCACAAATGTCCGACCGATGCTGTTGCTCGTATCACTTCATTTGCCAAGTACAATATGAAGCGAAGGGACTGATATGAAGCGGCTGCGGTGCTGCATGGATATATGGTACATACATGCAGCCGTATCTACCGTAGCGGTTATTGGCACGATACGGGAAACTCGTCCGAAATCGCTCTCCGAGTCGTTCAGAACAAAGGCTTTTTTTTGTTTTGACCAGTTCGCTTCGCTTTTTCGCCCCTTTTCCGCTATATGGCACCCCAACTGCAGTCCTCATCATTGCAGACTTGGGTCGCAATCAGTTGCCTCCTGCGGCCTTCCCACCAGTGGCTGATTCCTTCCTACATCGATCATTGCTCGATCACCATTGGTAGAGCAAGGCAGCCGGACGCGAGCTCGTGCCGCGCTGCGCTCGCCGCCCCGACAAATTGCAATGTTACAAACTATACCATCCTAGACCGATTACCGAATTGTCGTGCCTCATGCGTTGGAAAGGCTAAACAAGCAAGAAGCTGACAAGAAGTAATTTCAGCGTTATTGTGGTTACGGGTTGATGACATGATGTTCGTGACGAAGTATCATCAGCTTTTTTGTTCAGTGACGCTGCCTTCATTGCTGTAATCTCAGCAACTTTCGCCAAATCAACTAAACATAAACGTTACCCGTAACCAGGGATTGGATTCCGACCAGGTCACAAAGCTTTCCCCAGCAGTCACGGTAGCAGAGTGACCCAGCTGGTATCCGCAAGACACTGTGGAGGTTCTGAAGAGAGCTTTTACCCAAAGCGTAAGTTGAACATCTGGCCCATCCCAAGAGAAGGTTGATTAAAGTTTCCTTTTTGTCGTGAGTAGCACAAATCCTTTACGCTTATCTCTAGGAGCTCCGTTCACACCTAGAATCGGAGAACTGAAAGAAATTTGTGAAGAAGATCTCGCACCGATCTACACAGAACTACCATATCAGATTGATTTCGCGCTAATTCTCGGATCGTCCGTGTGGGCGGAGTCAAACAAACGGCACTTGACCTTTCCCGAAGACTTGTGAAGGGTTCTCCCAATACCGCAGCTCCGTGTTACTCCCAAGTGTCGCAAGGTGTAAGCGCAGCCTTCGTCGCTTGCAGGTGGGAGTATTTTGTTGAACAATCAATGTCCATGAGGAGAGAAGGACGTTTTCCTTCTATCATTCTTCACATTCTAGATGTTTATTGCAGAAGTCGTTTAGCTTACAAAGTGACTGACCCGCAGCACATCAACAGTGCGTTCGAAGAGGCGCAGATCAGCATTCTCGACTGGATTTGAGTACTGCAAAAGTAACTATGTACAAGAGGTCCTGAAGGAGGTAAGGGAATCAAACAATTACCTCAGCAGCTTGCTGACGAATGGCATTGGCTCTTTTTCGATTTTTGCTCTTTTCTGGGCATTGTCAATGCGGCCAGAATAGACAGATTCGTCTAGACGATCAATTAACGCCAAGCTCTACAAGTTGTCAGTGTTTTAGAATCTCACCCAGAGCAGAGAGGAAGTACAGTCCTCATCATTGCGGACCGGTGGGGCGTGGCAGTGCGGCTGCGTTTGGTGCGGTTTGGCAAAATCGTTCTGCACCAGTTTTTGAAGCGGGCAAGTGCATTACTGCATTATATCCTTCGTATCACTCGTTTCTACCACTTCTCGCATACGCGTTGCAACAAAAAAGGCTGAGAACGGCTTTAACAGTGTCTCCTTCTGGATGGCACACCCCACCGGTCCGCAATGATGAGGACTGAACGAGGCAGCCATGAGAAGAAGGCACTTCAAGGAATTTTCGGTAAAACCACAAAAAGGCATTTCAAGGACTTTTCGGTAGAACCACCGAGGGATGTGTATGTGGACCATGCCCTCAGTTAAAAAGCAGCGGCTTCGACCTTCAAGGCGTAGACTGAGTATCTTGGAGACGGGTCCGATGTCGTAGCCGAGTCCATTTGATCGCGTGGAAGGAGTTGGTGGCTGTGGCACCCAATCTACTGGGTGAAGAAGCTGTTAACGTAGTCCACCCCTACACAGTGCAGCTGTGAGATCTGAAGCAAATCGTCAAGGGAATGTTTTGTCCCCACAGCCCCTTTAGAAAAATCACACAGAAGGGTCGTGCAGGCTGCTGCGTAGCTCTTCCTCTGTAGCGGTATAGCATAGAAATTGCTTCATCCAGCTAACAGTAGTTCGAACTTATCATCGCACGGAAGACAAATGCTTCAGGACCCGAGCCCATATCCGAGTTGAACCTGGCGACGAATGCGCAAAAACAATTATGCTGTACGCAGCGCCCTTGGAAGTACGGCGTGCGCGTGCCTTCAGAATGACTCATTGGAATGTGTCAGGGCGTGGCGAAACAGCAGCCCGACGGATCGAGGAGTCGCCTAGCTTCAAGGGATCGAGTGCAGCCGCCGGTCCTACCATGTGCCTATGACCAGGTGAAGCCTTGCCTACTCAGACGTATGCCTCATGTATGTATGTGCTCTGTATCAGCTCACCTGTCACTCTGCCTTACCCGTTCCTTGTACCTGGTCTATTTCCCTGGCATGCCTTTGTATGATTTCCTCACCTCGTTAATCATGTTTTGTAAAGACAGGCTTTATTAATCTAAAGGGTTTGAAGCAGAAGCACCATGCGAGCACCCTTCCACTGGGCGCGCTCGTTTGACTGACACTGTTCGACTCAGAGAAAAGGGTCATATTGCACTTCCGCTAGTGTGTCTCGCTAGATCCTTAAAATTACTCGTATCACCTTGATGACATCTGTGGACTCTCGTCAAGTATAAACGAAGCTGTTGCAGCTTCACAGGAATCTGCAGGTCTCCAAAGGAGCTAATGATCGGTGGGAGCTTGCAGTATGCCCTCACCTAGCCAGGCCGCGCTATTTTAATTTCTTAACTTTCGCCCACAAGAAGCAAAAGCTCCAGTCGGCGGAAATTGTACGCAACCTTGCCTGTCGACGCTTAATTTGTCGGAGACGGCGTCCAACACAATCGTAGACTTGCCTCATCCGCTGCGTAGCAATGGAGTGCATTTCCTTAACCGGTTTCCATGCATTCATCTGCCGATGACTCACAAGATTTCATGTTGACATCGACTTCGTTGACATTTTTGGCTATTTTTGGTCACACATTGTATAGGTTGGAAAGAAAGTCCTGTCACTGTTGTGATTTTTTTCTTTTTTATTTTCTAACTCAACATGAAATAAAAACTAATCAATAATATAATCGCCATTGTTAGCCACTACAGTGCTCCACCTAATGGGCAACTCAGCTATCCCCTTCTCCCAGAACTGAGGAGGCTGCGAGTCGAGAATTAGGCCAGCTTTCGTTTGAATTGCATCAAATTCGTCTGAAGGGTTTTCTTCACCTATGGAACCTTGAGGGAGTCGAACAAGTAGCGAGGGAGGGGCCTTTCGTCGTGGAGAATATTTGGATGGAGAACGGTCCTCAGGCCTAGGTCGCCTCAAATTTGGCGGTGGGTCTCTCTTAGCCACAGTGTGCTCTGGCGTTATGCATATGGGGGAGGTGCACGGCGAAGCTCGTCTTCGACGCCGCTTTTGCTGAAGACTTTGCCCGCAATGGTTCTGAGTTGAGTCGGCGTACGTTAGCCGCGTAACCTATGCCCGGGAAGCAGCTCGTGGGTGTCAAGCGATGTCCTTGATATCCAGCAAGCAAGCAGAGGAGGACCTCTTGGAGTGCATGGTATCCGATCTGGGCGTTTGGTAGGCGGGTCTTTCTCCTCGAGGAAGCCCACAGTGGCACGAGTAGCGTTGGAATCACTATAAACCCAGCTTTCATCTCCACGGTATCATATCTTCCAGGAAACTCCTTCCGGTTACGGTGTAGAAGGAGGGATCGACAGATGCTCACCCTGGCATACCGCGTGCCATCTGTTAGAGCATGAGGTATCCATCGCGTGAGGACTTTTCTGTAGCCAAAGGCTTGAAGGCGGCTCAGAGCTGTTGTACGGCCACACCCCAGCCTTGTTGCAATACTGTGCGTGGTAGCTTCTGGATCCTCTCTGAGCAGAGTTTCGAGACGGGGATCGGAATTTTCTACGCCGCGAGGGCGTCCCAGACGAGGTTTGTCTTCGAAGATCGTCTCTCCTTTCGCGAAGCGAGCGAACCAACGGTGGACAGTCCTGACGGTGGTGGTGTCCTCCCCAAGGCCACAGTGATGTGCGGGCCGCTGCCGTAGCTCCCAATGCTGCGCGCGCCACTCATGAAGATGATCACTCGGAAGCTTGCTCCAGGTGAAAACTGACATCATAAATAATGACGGGAAAGAGCAGGAGCCTTGATATACCTCTTGTGGAAAAGCTTCGAGAATGTTCTACAACCTTAGCATGTTACGTCATGTTCGAGCTTCGAAGATCAAAAACTGTAGGCTATCTAAAAAACACTGACAGGACTTTCTTT